TGAGTAACCCAAGACTCCCAGAACAAATGAAATCCTTCGTCTTTCCTGACACATATTATATTGGTGCAGAGTAATTACCTATCTTTTCCTACAATAAGTAATGTGTCTTTAGATATATTTCCTATCTAATAATTTCTTTGCTCATTTTGCCTTTTTTTCCCCTTTTACTACTAGTGATTAAACTCAGGGCTTACACGTTCTAGGCACATGGTCTCCCACTAAGCCATGTCCCTTCCCTTTTTATTTTTACCCAAGACAGAGTCTTGCTAAATTGCCCCGGCTGACCTTGACCTTGTGTTCCTCCAGAGCAGCTGGGATTACAGGACTGAGCCTCCACACCCGGCTCATTACTTCTTGAATCTTCCATCTAAAACTACTTTCTTCTTGACTGAATACCTTTTTCAGTCTTTAAAAGTTAGAGGATACTGGATCAAATTGCTCCCTCCTTTTTTTCTTTTTGCATTTTAAAAAGTATCTTTATTTTGCCCTCATCCTTGAAAGATTTTTTTTTTTTCTACATGTGCAATTCTAAGTTTACAGTTGTTGTCTCTCAGCATGTTGAAGGTTCCATCCCACTGTCTTTTGGCTGCTGTTGTTGCTGTTGATCAGTGAGTTCTCAGAGTGTTTTTCCTTTGAAAATAATTTGCTGTTTTTTTCTGTGTATTGAAAGATGTTCTCTTTCTTTGATATTTGATCTTTGTTTTGGTGTGTTTAGATGTGGATTTCTCTATTCTTACTGCCTCTTTTGTTTATTTATTTTGTTCTCTTCTGGAAACTATGATTATTGGCTTTCATCAGTTCTAGAAAATTCTTAGTAAGTATTACTTCAAATATTGAATTTATTCCACTTTCCCTCTCTTTTCTTTCTGAATAGACATATGATGATGTTTGTACTTTTTTTTTCAGACTGGCATTTGAACGAGGTATGAACTACCTCTGAGTTTATCTACATCATTTTTTATCTTTATTTTGATACAGGGTCTCACTAAGTTCATGTTCATGTTCATGTGTAATTTTTTTTATATTTGAGATGGTCTTGTTATGCAGTTCAGGCTGGGCTTGAGCTCATTTTGTAGCCCAGGCTGGTCTCGAACTTGTAATGATCCTCCTGCCTCAGCCTCCTGAGTGCTGGGATTACAGGTGTTTGTACCACTGGCCCTGGTTAAATTTGTGATCCTCTGCTTCAGCCTAAATTAATGCCTTCCTTGTTTCTTTCTTTAAAGAAATTTTTTTTGTCTTTTTTCCCCTTGTGTTGTATTCTATATATTTTATATATTTTTTTAAGTCAATGTCTCCTTATATAGGTCAAGTTCAAGTTCAAGTCAAGGTCAAGTTCAGATTGACCTTGAACTCATTATGTAGATCATGCAGAACTAGAACTTGTGGTGATCCTTCTGCCTCAGCCTCTGGAGTGCTGGGATTACAGACATGTGCCATCATGCCTGGTTATATATTTTATACTTTCTGTCTTCAATTTACTACTCTGTCTTTTATGAGTGTACACTATTCAACTAATCCACTGAATTTTAAAATTTATGTTTTTTATTTGTATAAAATTTTTTGGTTCATTTCCCAAACCTGCTTTAGCCATTTTGTAGTATTTTGCCTTTATTATTAGCCTTTGTAATTTCTTCTTTTGCAATTGTAGTTACCATATTTATTTTGTCTTGTGCTCCTAGTATTTAGAGTCTTTAAGAGTCTTTTTCTACTTCCATTTGCTTCTGGTGGTTCTTACAAATGTTGCTGTTTTCCTTTGTATATTTAGTGATATGACAATGTGCTGCTGCTTTGCTTAGTAACTTTCTGCTATTGCCTTGAGGGGAGAGATAGATCACTATGTCCTGTGCAGCAAAGATACAAAGACGAGAGACAAAGATGGGGTCAGGTGGAGACCTCTCTCTCCTGATGGGAGGAAAAGGAACTGAACAACCACAGTAGGGGCGTTTATTTATACTTTTGACAAAATTAGTATCCCAGGACAGGGTTGCCTAGCAACTAATGACTGGAATTGTCTCAGGCAAGTAGCTTGATTGCTTTAGGCGCTCTGGTCTCGCCTTGCCCCCACACATGTGACCAATTTCCAGCTCCAGCTGCTCCCTATAATAGATTTCGCCAAAGGATATCTATGTTTACTTGTCAGGTACCTGGGAACACTGACAGCCCCTGACCATTTTAAACGTAATCCTTGGTTTGAGTTCCTTTGGATCCCTGGGACAGGGCTGATATGTGCCGCAGACTTTCGTGAGCGATGGTTTGTGATTGAGATCCCACTGGGATGATTCTTTCTCCATTTTCCCTACCCCAAATTTTAAGACAGAGAAATTTACCTTCTAAGGAGTTGCTGCTCATTCTTAAACTGATAGTATATCCATTTAAAGAAAAAAGTGTCTTTGATTAGATTCTGTATCTTGGGGAAAGTTCAAATTCATAGTGGTTTGTAAATTCACTCAAATCAAAAGCCAGGAATTAGTGCTCTATTTACCTTTTGGATTTTTGCCTACCTTAATTTTTTTCTCTGATATTATATATATTTTTTACTTACCTTACTTTCTTCTTAACTAATGGCCACATTTAAAAACATTAAAAAGATATTTTATCTAGCATTTTTAGTTGTTCTTAGTAGGAAACTTGGTGAAGGAACCAGCCATCATTTTTATCTGAGACTCAATTTCTGACTTGACTTTCATTGTTTTAGGACTCTGGGGCCTGGTCAACAATGCAGGCATTTTTCCCCCAGTCACAGTGAGTGAGTGGCAGAAGACTGAAGACTTGGTGAATACTCTCAAAGTGAACCTCATTGGTTTGATCGAGGTGACCTTGAGCGTGCTTCCCTTGGTGAGGAAAGCGCGAGGGAGGATCGTCAATGTCTCCAGCGTTTTTGGAAGAATTGCTGTCCCTCCTGCAGCCTACAGCTGCTCCAAGTATGGGGTTGAAGCATTTTCAGACGTACTGAGGTAATACTTTTAAGGTGAAACAAAAACAACTATTGAACACTTCACACATCTTAGGGATGGTGCTATGCACTTACACCTACCTCACCTTATTTTATCACTCCCCAAATCTTAGTTCCTAGATATGATTACTAGTCCATTTTATATAGGAATCTGTGGCTCAGCTTTAAATATCCTTCCCAAAGGTCACCTGCCACAGCCAAGACTTAATGGAACCACGTTCTCAACCAAGTCTTTGTAGTGCCTCCCACATAACATTGACATTCCCAAGACTTGGCTTTGATAAAATATCACTTCTGAAGAAAGGATAATTCCCTTTTTACCAAGCGAAACTTTATTGTCTCTTCCTAGTGGTTCTCTTTCTTATTGGCTCCTCACCTGCTTCCAAGTTTTTCTTCTCTTTACTCTGCATATGTGTGTTTTAGTTTGAATTTGCTGCCACCTCTCACAGCTCTGCCTCCACCCTCTGGCTTTTGTTCATGTACTGTGTTAGCTTCACATCCATCTTCATAGTTCCCTGGTGTTTTAATTTTTAAGGGAGAATCCTATTAGCTGAGTTATTTCTCTGTGTGTGCCAGCTAGTAATATATTATATGCCATTTGTATGCACTTATATATCAGGCACTTTTACAAATACTATTAGTCATTTATTTGTTAAGATTTTTCACTTTTGTTAGTACATTTTTGCAGCACATAACAAGTGTGTTCACTATGAGGAGTTAGTATGTGTACATAACACGTTTCATTCTTTTTATGTCCCTGCCTTTTCCTCTCCCTCCCATCTCCCTCCATCTCCTGGTCCCATTCCTTTTTGCAAAAGATCTATTTTCCTGTTTGCTTCTGTCTACCTTTTGTTTTTCTCTTTTTCCTTTGGGTTTCTCCTATAAGAGAAACCATGTGATACTTAGATTGTGTGTCTTACTTACTTCACTTATCAGCGTGGTTATAAGATGTGTTCATTTTCCTTTACATGACTCAGATTTGGCCAGGGATATAGCTCAGTGGTTACAGTGCTTGCCTGGCAAGTGCAAGGTCCTGAGTTCGATTCCTATCACCAAAAAAAAAAAAAGTCTCAAATTTATCTTTCTTATAGCAGGGTATTACTCCATTTGTTTATAAATACCACATTTTCTTTATCCATTCATCTGTTGATGGATATATAGGCTTCTCTCAAAGTTTAGCTATTGTGTTTTGTGCTGCTATACACATAGGTATACTAGTATCACTCTGATATGATGTCTTTAACTCTTTCAAGAAGATATTTAGAAGGATATAGCAGAGTGGAATGTGATTTGTATTTTTAGTTTCTTGCAGAATCTCCAGACTGAGTTCCATAGTGATTGTAGTAACTTACATTCCTTTCAACAATATAGAAGGGCTCATCTCCCCACCCTCCATGCCCAGTCTCAGCAGCATTTGTTATTTTTTAATTTTATTAGTACATGTTTGCAGTATATAATGATTACATTCATTGTGGTGAGTTGGTACATGTACATAACACATCGTAATTCATTTTTTGTCTCCTTCTCCTCTCCCTCCATTTTGTTATTATTTGATTTCTTGATGATAGCCATACTTTCTGGAGTGAGACAGAATAGAATCTTGGCTTTGTTTTACTTTGCATTTCTCTAATGGTTAAAGAGATGTTTAGCAGTTTTTCATGTATTTATTGATCATTTGTACTTATTCTTCTGAGAAGTATGTGTTCATTTTAGTGGCCCATTTTTTAACTGAGTCTTTTATTTTGGGGGGGTCTAATTCTTTTTAGTTCTTTATATATTATAGATATTAGTCCCTTTTCTGATGAGTGGATGGCAAGTTTTTTCCCATTCTGTGGGTTGTCTCTTCACTCTGTTGGTTGTCTCTTCACTCTGTTGGTTGTTTCCTTTTCTGGGCAGAAGCTTTTTAATTTGATATAATAGTATGTGTTGATTCTAGATGTTGGTCCTTTTAAATTATTTATTATTTTTATGAATCATGTAGTTATGTATTAGTAACATGTTTGTAATACACAATGATTACATTTGTTGTGGGGAGTTGTACAGGTACATAACACATCTTAATCCTTTTTTTTTGGTTTTTTTTATTTTTTATTTTAAAGAGTAAAACAAGGATAACATAATAATAGGGGGGACTTAGCATATTACAGACAAAATGGTAGGAAATTATCAATGGTTATCGTTTTACATATTATTATCTACAAAATAGTTTCTCAGGAAAACAAATAGACAAATAATAGTGAGTTAGAGAAAAAAGAGGTAGG